TCTACCTTCTCCTCTCTGTCAACGCTCTCTGGTTTCATTTAAGAGTCAATCATCAGATATTGTCCAAGATTAACCTTCAGGGTGGATATAGCTCACTAGCAGCCTCGCACCGATGACCTAGTTGACATCATTTACCCAGAATGCTTTGTGTGTAAATAAAATGGCCCCGTCCATGTAATATATTTTTAAACTTTTATTTTAAAAATGATAAAAACTAAACAATCTACAGTATTTTTACAGTTTTTATTTTACAGTTAAAATATATTTTTATCAAATGAGGTCTAATGTCGCAACTAATCGGGGATCCCTTTAAAAAAGATGAATACAAACTGTTTGAAGCAAATAAAAAAAAACAATTGAGCTGAAGTGCAACGGTACAAGGCGTCTTGAGTGCAGTCTCATATTTAGCTTTGTGCAACATGTTGTGCCAACGCAGACAGTATCTCTAAGCWGACTGAACATAGGTTTGAAATTCTGTGAACATAAGTTTCACCTGAAACATGAGATTTTATCTGTACAGCTTTCTTTCCTCTGTTCTTAGCCATTGCTAATTGTCTCTTCCTCAAACGTAGAAAAGACTTGTGTGCGAGGTGGCTTCTGCGTTGGGTGCACCGTCTAGTGGCAAATGTCATTTCAACCAATTCAGTGCCACCAAGACTCGTGCATTTTTGTAATTTTCACAAATTATTCTTAAAGATGTTTTTTTTAAGTACAGAAAATAATTGCCCATCCCTGCTTTAGGTTATGTGTGTAATAAAATATATATCATTTTGTTTCTGTCTCTATTTGTCAATTTAACTGCAGTAACATTTATAATGTTGCAGTGAACATTTTTTACCTAAAATTTAATATATTTGTCCACTTCTCCACTCTCCTCCAACCTTCCTCCAGTGCACCACCTGTGGGAAGCGTTTCCGCCAGCTGCCCCACCTCCAGGACCACGAGCGGATCCATTCTGGTCTGCGGCCTTTCTGCTGCTGGGTCTGCGGCAAGAGTTTTAGCGTGGCCGCCCGCCTCACCGAGCACGCTCGCACCCACAGCGGCGAGAAGCCCTACCCCTGCCCGCACTGCAGCGCCGCCTTTCGCTCTCGTCCCAACCTGGATAAGCACCTGCGGCTGCACGGAGACCTCGCTCCGGAAACCATCGAGCAAGTGGCACAAGCGACCGAGGAGGCGTATGTCCAGAAGGTGCTGGAGGGGGCCAAGGCACTCTCTTCCCTGGCTGCCACAACCGAGATGGAGGCGGGCACCGTGCAGACCATCTACGTGGTGCAGGAAGGTGAAGGGGGCACCGAGACGGTGATGATCCCGTCCGACCAGCTGGAGGGCTTAGAGGGAACCTCACAGGTCGTCATCCTGCCCTCCTCGGTTTTGGAAGCTCAGGGGATAAACGTTCCCACCATCGCCATCAACGAGAGCGGAGTCGCCGTGGTGGAGACGAGCCAGTCACCGCAACACGCCATCGAGTTCATCGTGGAGGAGACTGTGTGAGAAATTATTAGTAATAACTATGGCAACGTCTGATTATAAGTTGAAGACTTTGAACATGATTTCACTTCCTTATAGCTTATTAGATTTATTCAGTTAAAATGTTCTAGTTTGTGTAATATTTTAATTCCACTTGAGCAAAATTTAATTTAATTTTTTTTTACGTAATAACTTAAAGATTGATACGTTTTCTCCCAATACCATAGATCAGTCATCTGAAGTATTTAAAAAAAATTAAATTAGTTTTTGATTATTTTTTGAAACTAGTTCCTGATTTATTTTGCGTTTGTAGAGCCTCTGTTTATTTGTGAAACACCTGGTCCCCTGAGAAATATTCTCTGCTTTCTTAATAATAAATGCCTCCGCTTTCACACTTGTGAGTGTTCATCATTTTATTGGCTGACACGAGGGCAGCGCCTCCATCCGCATTTCATGGGCTGGACTTTATAGGCTCTGCTGTAAATTTCCACCTCTGTCATTTGACAGAGCACAAAGTCTGCTGAAAAATAAAACGGCCTCTAAGCAGTCAGTGTCCAGCTTTTCAAGTAAGGGTGGAAAGAATTACTTGTGTGTGTATGGATCAGCCTTAGTCTTCTGACTATTTGTTATGTGGCCTGTTATTGATCGGGTTTGTGCAGTAATTAAATACAATGCCACCAAGGATACATTGAGACATACAGTAGATTTAGCTGAAATGCTGAATTATGCAGTGGCAAGTAATGTAATAGAATTACCCAGCACTAGCTGTATAGTTATCAAAAATAATGATCCTATTTGAGTCTGAATGGGAAGAAGCGTAATGTGATATAAGTTTTGCCAGCGCTGCAGTAGGCCATTATAGGCTTCTAAAGCTTGGTTTATGGCTGTCTCCCACCTAGTGATTGCTGACAGGGGGGTTTGAAGCCTCGCGCACGGGCTCAGGCACTCAGTCTTCATTTGTTTTCATGTCGTGGAGGCAGAAATGCTGAGGATTTTGAGGCCAGTATAGGAAAATGGTAGCATTTCCTCGTGGGAAGCACATGAGGAAATAAAGAACTCCTGAGGAGCAGAAAGAAGCTCATGTCAAGACCTCTGATGCTTTTAATAGCTTTTCAGAAAAAGTCAAGAAAGCAGTCAATAAAAACATGATTTTTAAAAAAAAAAAAGAATTCTTTCCCAGCAGAACTCATGAGCTGATATTCAGGTTGAGTGCTTTTCATCACACCTGCTGCCTAACATCGAAGCGGGAAAAATTACAGACGTGTAATTATATTGTTTAGACTGCCATTGAAATCATGAGGCTTTTATCCTCCGGTGAAGCACTCTGCCTGCAGTATTTATGTCTTTTTTGATGTACAGAAAACAGGATGTTGTCTGTTTCCAGCTCAGATCCAAGTACCAAAGTGTTCTGGGGCTTTTGGGAGAACAAAGATCCTTTAAATGTAATTTTGTTTTATCTGCAGTTTTGTGAAGACAGTGTTACAAATGTCAGCCCTTCTGCTGTATGCCTTTTTTCTCTTCTCTTACCTCTGCAAAATATGATAGAACAACAAAGACAAGTGAAGCAAATGATACGTTTATCATAATGAATCTATAAAGACAGAAAACTATGACTGCAGCAATATATACAATAAATAAATAAGTCACTATAGCTAATTAACAGCTGACATAAGCTAAAACTTGGTAGTTTAATGTTATTACTAATAAGACAGATTTAGTTTGTTGCTGTTGATTCAAAAGCCTTTTTTTGTCATCAGGCAAATGTGAAGTTTTGTGGCATTTTGCATCTGCTGTGAACTCAAAGMAAACAGTCAGAAAGACCCACTGCAGTTTAAATATCATACTGTATAAAAACTTCAACACATCAGTGAGCTCTGCAGCATTTACATTCACAAACTCTCAGAACATCTATTCAAGCCCAGGACACTCTCTACAGAAAGGATAGATTCGCCCCGGACTGCCATAAAAAAGACTTGACGAGAACACATTTAGAGAGTTCACTGCAGGTGCAAACATTTCATAAAACTCAGATATAGATTGAACAGGGGGAGCGGAAAAAATCTTCCGTCTATTTTTTTAAGACAGGCAAGATTGAATCCACCTGCAGAAGAATGACGGAGAATGAAAACTGAGGAGAAGGCTTGGAACGGCTCATGATGTGGAGCATCATCTGGAAGACACATGAGGAGGCTGTGGGATGACATCTGCATGCCCCTCACTGGCTGCGGGTCTCTAGTGTTTATTGATGATGTGACAGAAGCTGAAAGACAAGACTAAAATGTACAGAGCTGCATGTCTGCACACATTGAGCTGAACGCAGCAGAGTTCATTGGATGACACTTCACAGTATTGATGGACAGTGACTTAAAACAGATGGATCCCTGGTGAGTGGAATAGTAAAAATTCATTACCTCACTGCTCTTATGCAGAATTTTGTTAAGTTGTTTTGTAGTTTGCCCTTAAATCATTCTGATAAAATAAACTTAGCACAAAAAAAGTAAGGAAATTAGTGTTTGGTAGATTATTTCTTTGTTGTAAAAAGGCTTCTTGGCAATATATCGTTGGAAAGCCAGGTAATTTCCCTTTTAAATGTCACATTTGTAAGGAATATGCATTTGTGGGATGAGCAGTCAAGCTGAGGGTTGTGCACATAAAAAGTTTACCACATCTTCTCTTGCTGTTGCTATTAATGCTTGTTTTGAGCTTCTGGTGCTCCCAGGTGCTGCCAGTCTGGTGCCAAGCGTCAAAGAAATAATCTACCAAACACTAACTTCTTTACTTATTGTGCTAAGTATAGTAAAAATTAAACTTTTTAATTTGTTTCATTTGCTCATAACCTTTCCGTAACTTAATAAAGATGCAAATACATAAATAAATGTAGTCATATTTTATAAAGTTTCATATATTGCACCTATTTCCATTTGACTTGCAATCACTCGTGTACACAGGTAGCTGAAAGTAGAAAATACTGTTTTTGCAGTTGTGCTCTTAAATTAATTAGAGCATGCATTTGATGTTAAATAAGGAAAGAAATCACTTTTATTCTTTAATGGGGTCAGCTTAAAAAAAGACTGTTCACATGGAGCTTTAAATAAACTGTTTGTTGCATATAAAAAATARCAAAACGCACAGTAAGTGCCTCCAATTATTTTCAAAGTCCTTTTGATTTTTCACCTCTTTTTACACGTTAAACACTAAAAATATCTAATTGACCCTGTAGAGGGAGTCTGCATATTCAGCTTTTAGCGCTCACAGCAGTAAACTGAAAAGTTGCTGACATCACAGAGTCCTGAGCAGGTGGAGGACACCGGGAGCTCTGTGTTCGGCTTTTTATCACCAGGTAGGAATATTAATAGAGCAGATGTAAAGTTCAGCTTTTCTCCTTTTGTTACAAGACCCAGGATCTATTTTGGAAGAAACAGATACATGTCAACTTTTTGACAGCTGTCTTAAAGTTGGCGTTTTACTCTTCGTGCTTATTCAGCTGCAGTTTTTGCTTCAAACTTTGTGATTCTCCTATCTGACAGGGTTGGATGAGGGGATATAAAAAGTAAATTTCTTGGCTTGTGCATGAGATTAATAAAATCTGCACTGATCATAAATAGGAAAAGTGGCTAAAGAGCTGCAGCTCACAGACCCCAGCATTAAAACTCTTCAGTGAAATCAACACTTACAAGCACACTTTRAAATCTCTTTCTATTTTTGGACATTTTCCCCCTGAACCAGCTTGTATTACCTTTGTATTTATAGTCTGATTAGGGTGCAGCRGGAGTAAATAACCCACCGTTGTTCTGGTGCATTTGTGAGAGCACTAAAACGCAAAGGAAACAGAGGAGACAGACATAAAAACAAACAGGTAAAACAGAAGCCGGCAGCTTTAATTAAACTTAGAAAAATGAACCTGGGTGGCAAACAGAAATCTAACAAAAAGGCTGCTGAAGAGTCAAAGGGAAAAACAACAACAAAAGCACACAAAAAACAGAGCAACACACAGAACAAAACACACCAGGATCAATTAGTGACAAGGAACAAAGACAAAGAGCCAAAAGCAGAACTATAAATACGCTCAGGATTAGTTAGAAAGGTTTCTGCAGAACTTGAAGAGGTAATTCAAGCAATAAATCAGGTGTGTTGGAGCAGGGAAACAAGTAAAACATACAAGATAGTGGTCCTCAAAGACACAATAGGACACCCCTGATTTAAAATGACTAATTAACCTAATGCGCTTGTTCTTGTTCTGTAGGAGGAAACTGAAGCCCCCCTGGAGAAAACCAACGTGTGCACAAAGAGAACATGCAAACTCCACCCAGAAATGCTCCAGGCTGGGACACAATCCTGTGACCTTCACACTGAGAGGCGACAGCTCAAACAACTGCACCACTGCCTTATCACACGTAGTTTTCAGGTCATTCTTTACTCTAATCCTCTTTTAAAGAAGCACTAAGTCTTTTTTTAATTTTAACAATCAGTTTAAGAATGTGTTGCAGCCAATAAAAAGCAGTAATGGTGCAGGCATTGAAACATGTCACATATACAGATTAGAGTACAAAGTAAAATAAAATCAAAATGAAAAAAACACAGCAAAGTTATGTGCACACTCATTTACTCACAAGCACCATAAAGAAATGAAAAATAAACATCTAGAAACCAGAAAATGTTAGTTTACATCAATACATCCAAACAATACTCTTGAACCAACCCTTCCTCTGACAATTCTTTTTATGTTTCCATGTTTCCAAAATTGAAATTAGTCCTGCACGTTTTTTTTCACTTTTCAAGTAAACAACACTCACAAAACAGACGCGTTAGGTTTACTTACATCATATTAACTGGCTCCACTCACCTGAATTGAGTAAATTTAACTAAAATTAACTTTTAAAGTAAATATAAAAATTGTGTTACATTTTCTCAGTTGAGTTGAGTGGAACCAGTCAACATAGTTTTTTAAAAGTAAATCCAACACATCTGTTTTTAAGTGAACGAAAATACAATCAAAACTGACAAAATATCTTTTTAAACTCATTGTTTTGACAGATGCAATAAAGGAACATAAAGTGCAAGACAAACCTAAAACTGTCTGAACTTTCAATTTATTTGATGAGAAGTTTGAATACACTATTGCATATTTATTTGCGATATAATTCTTTTCCAGTCCCTCTAATCCCATCAGCACTGATCCAGCAGTATCAGTGTCACGCCTTGTTGATGACATTTTTATTAACATCTTGGAAAGTGGATTCCAGGCAGAGCTTTGGATGAGAAACTGTGTTTGCTGACACAGATTAGCACTTTGCGACAAAAGACGTGTCATTTAGTTACGAAACAATTTCATTTCTAAATTATATTTACAATATGCAATGGTTTTATAGAGAGGTGTGACACTTCCTCCAGA